CTCTGCAGCGAGCGGGGCGGCGGGAGGCTGGGAGCGCCGCTGCTGTTTGTACTGAGAGGGAACGACATGCGCTGAGCTCTTCAACACAACTGGTTATGAATCCAGCGTGTTTTAAGTGTGCTTTTATCTACTATATGTTACACTTCTAGGGTCAGTAAATATTGAAGTGGATGCTTTCTAAAGTGTTCTTACTCTAGTACATTGCAACACTGCACGTGTAGTGGGATAGCCCCCAGTTCGTCAAGCTGTTCCTCACGCTGCAACGCCTGCGTCAACGCAAAGCTCAGTTGCTTCAGGAATAGCAGTGAGGCAAAATTTCTTATCCACTGTTTTAATGATATTTTTCCAAAGCAACAGGAAGCAACCTACCATTTTAATGGGTGAAACTCGCGGGTACAAAATGTCCCAAAGCAGAAACGATACTTAAGGAAACCTTTATACTTTTTAAGCTTGACTAGAGGGCAAAATGGTAGCATCTGTACAATTTTCAGTGAAAATTTAAAAAAAGTTTAGGGCAAAAAACGCAGCGGCGTTTCCTGTTCCACCAGGCTGGTTCCTGCTCCCTGGGGAAGCTGGGCCCTGGCAGCCATCTTAGCGCAGGGGCCTCCATGTTCTTAGGGGAGCGCCAGGTCCTCCCTGCTTGCGTGGCCACAGAGGGAGAGACGGTGTTTGTACCATCTCCTGTGTTTACTATTAGCGTGAGGAAGCGGCAGGCATGTCCGTATTCAAGTCAGGACCGGGGCGTGCTTCCGAGCGGTGTGTGGAAGCCGGACAAGCGGGCAATGAGACAGCAGTGAATATCCGCGCAGTGAATGCAGAAGGAGATCGCACCGAGCCAGCGTCTCATGGAAAGGCACGTTTGCTCTGTCGGATAAGGAAAAAGACGAGGCATCACTGCAAAGCGCCCAACAGCTCTTGCTGCTCCGTGCCCAGCAGTATCACTGCAAGAAAGACGTGGAGGTGCTGGAGCGTGTCCAACGGAGGGCAATGGAGCTGGTGCAGGGTGGGAGCACAGAGCTTGTGAGGAGCAGCTGGCGGAGCTGCGGTTAGTTAGTCTGGAGAAGAGGAGGCTCGGGGGAGACCTCATTGCTCTCTACAACTACCTGAAAGGAGGCTGTAGTGAGGCAGAGGTTGGTCTCTTCTCCAGTATAACTACCTGTAGAACAAGAGGAAATGGCCTCAAGTTGCGCCAGGAGAGGTTCAGGTTGGATATTACGAAAAAAAAATCTACAG